TATCTATCGACCCGGCGCCAACTTCGACTACTTTGTGAATGCGGCAAGAGTTCAACGGCCCTGGGGAATCGAAGCTGATGGCGGCCGGGCAGGAGGAGGAATTCGTAGCAGGGAAACAACGCTGCGGACGAGTTTGAAAATTCGCGATCCCTTTATGCATCGGCGCTGCGCGATCTGCCCTGCGGGGACAGCGTGTCTAGCCCGCGGGAAATTGGGACGTGGAACGTATTCGCAATGGAAACGTTGTCCCGATAATTTGTCACGCGGTAAATCGCGGAAAATCCGCCACGCGAATGGAAATCGCACGGAGGGACGGAATCGAGAGAGTCGACAGCACGAAACAAAATATTATCCATCGTTGTTCAGAGCACGTCGTTCTTCGTCTTCTTAGCCGCCTCGTGCCGGCTTAACGATCCGTGAAATCGTCCGCTGAACGAGAGTACACGCCATAAACCGTTATAAATCACGGCGTATTTAGCGGTTTAAGAGCGGCGTTTAAGGTTGTTTTATGAATGGCCACGAAGGTGGAACGAATATCTCGTGCCCAGTGCTCGTACATGCCACCGTGTATGTACGTGTCTCGCAGAGCCGAGCGACGAGGCTTGTTCCAGTTTTGGATAAGCCGTTGAATAAAGGGAGCAGAGGAAACGATGGAGTGGGGTGGTCATGGCGCCTGTTCGTCTGCCGCTCCTGGTCGATGGCTTCCTTCAACCCCCTCCTGCTTTACCGCTGTTATCTGCAAACTTCTCAGTATCGGTATCGCGGTATTCCTAGCCGGTCATGATTCATTCATACTGGTAACAGTGTAATTCTACGATCATGAACGTTATCCGAATCGCGTGCAATCGCGAGGAAAAACGAACTGGAGGAGCTAACGAAGTTTCGTAAGTTTCAACCCCGTTTCTCAACGTTTCGATTCAATGCTCGGCAACGGCCGCGAAAATTTATCAATTTTCCACCTCTCGATCGCCGGCCGCGATTGTTTTAACATTTTATGCGCCGCGCTGATGGCGTGTTTTGTGTCGTTCGATTGAAAAAAAAAAAAAAAAGAAAAAGAGGAGGGAGCAAGAGAGTTGAAAAGAATCGATTCGATACTCGTTATTCGCTGCGTCGTTATTCTTTTTGAAAGACAGGGGAAACCGTGTGTTGCTCGTTATTGTGATGTCTTGGCGAGACGCGTAGGCAAACATCGCGCTGTGTTGACAGGGGCGGGAAAATGTATTGTTAATATTTGCACCTATATCGCGCGTTGCCGCCGATCAATTTGAAACTTGTTACTCGGATCGGAGACGAAACGAAATTTAATACACAGGCGGATGGAAAGTTGCGGCTTCCGTGGCAATGAGACATTATGAACAGGCACGTCCGTTCCGCGAATATTAACGAATCGTCTCGCAAAAAAAAAAAAATTGTGAAAAAATCCGTGCACGCGGCTGCACTTTCGGCTGCTTATATATTTAAAAAAAAAAATATATATATATATGTATATATATTAAATTCAAGGTATCTATAATACGTTGCAAGCGTATAACAAATTGGAATATCGTTTCAATTTTAAATACAGGAAATAAGCTTCACGGTTCATTAATCCTTAATAACGACATCATTAAACGAATTTATATCGCACGATGCGCCATTCTGTATCGACTAGATTGCCGAGCGAACGTTACACGTACATATGTAACGTCGTATCCCTCTCGAGCGTTTTTCAGAATAAATTCACGGACCGAGTCACGTCACTGTTCAAGATTTTGTAACGTTATCTTCGATAGAATATTCCGTTCGCGTGTGCGCTATGCACAGTATGCTTTTTTCGCGAAAATAGTGCATTGTAAAAGATCGTTCTTCCTTGCCCGGAATTCACCGTCTTGCAGTAGCGTAGCGATGCGCACCTGTTTCTGGAAAATTAAATCATTTTGTTGTAGTTCTCTCTCTCTCTCTCTCTCTCTTTCTATTTCTATTTGTGTCTCAGTACAGCGAACCGATATCATCTCCCTCGTGTTCGAACGAAACAATTGTTTCCGAAACTGACTTGGGATTAACGAAAGATGACCATGAAACAATTGCTTGCGCAGCCTTCTCCGCTTTGTAACAGCGACTGTGCGTATTCCGGCGCGCAAACTGCATCTTGTAATTCTGAAAGCAACGATACGGAGCAACAACGAGCTTTTCTCCATGAAACGGTTTCGCGTAACGTCGAATTCACGACCCGCGAAACGAGAGAAGCCGAGAAGCCAAGCGGGAAAAGGATATTCACAGTCCGCGCGTTATTCGCCTCAAGAATGGATACGTTGAAAATTGGTCATCGATCCGGACGTATCCCCGCGGCGTTACGCCAATGCACGCCATGCACACCCCCTCGAAATTCCGATCAGGAATTTCTGGAACTCGAACTCTACCTACTACGATTTCTCTCGCGGTGTAATCCGAATTCCCATGAAATATGTATGTCGCAGATATACCCGTACGCAGACGATCCGAATTAACGGGAGATCATTTCCCTGGGTATTTCTCGCGCGTCTGATCCGTTCGCGGTTCACTCCGGTTAATCCGCGGAAAGAAATGCGCGTGCCGAGGGCTCGTTCGTTTTTTTCAGAACGCCACGTTACCTTTCTCGAGGTGCCATTGTACCAAGCATTGTGCGAGACCTGTTTCAACGATCAGTTTACCGATATTATCCACCAGCTTCGGCTTTTGCGCTCCGGGTATTTCGCGCTCTTCGACCCGAAAAAACGCGCGCACTACGACTGAATCTTTCCGATTATTTTCTTGTTCGGTTCGAACCGCGTGATAACGCATGACCGATCAAATGACCATTTTTAAAAACTTTCGTTTAGAATTCCTTACATACGATGTTATTGCATCGCCGTTTAACCTCGCGACTTCTTTTGTAGTTCTTTTCTTGTTTTCTGAGAAAAGTATGCATATCTGTCTTATCTCTTACTACGGTCAGTTCTTTGACCAGTTGAATGATTTATATATTTTTTTTTTTTTGTAATAGTATTTTGCAATAGTAAGTGTGACACGACTTTAGCCGAAAACATAATAATACACAACTATGTATTTTAATATACTGGGAAACATTAATATATATAGTATTTACGTGTTCAAGTTATATGTATATCATATTTAAATATATTGCAATGTAAATGTACAATAATTTATATATATATATATTTATTTATTTATTTATATTGTAGAGATTAAATATAAAGTAACATTTATTTAATAATAATGCTGGTGATTAAACAATAGACTAATATACTCGGTTACGATTCAAAAAAATTCTTTTTTTACAACTTAAATCGATTCTTTTCTGCTTCTCGATCGACTCTCTCTCTCTCTTTTTTTAAAGAAAATCACTTCAACGTCGCGCGTCTCCCACAAGCCAACTAAACGAACTACAACTAAAATAACAAATTAAACTTATGATACTACAATATTGTGTATATATATAT